AGGGCAATGGAGCAGAGGTGGGCTGTGATATGACATCAGACCAGGGGATGCCCTGGGATGTTCCTCAGAATAAGTGGTGGGACAGTGAGGAGAACCATGGGACTCTGGGGTACCCCTGGATAGGTCTGAGATGTATACAATTCACAGAAGCCTGGAGCCATCCAATCAGAATCCAGTCTCGCAAAAAATCTGCCCTGCCGCAATCCCCACTGAAGCTCCTTCTCTCTCACTCCCTCCCTTGTCTCAAAAGCCACCAAGCCCCCCCAAAGCAGGGCAAGAACCCAGGTATCCAGGCTCCCAGCTCCAAACCACCAGGCCCCACTTCCCCTTCCCAGAACTGGGACAGAACGCAGGCGCCCTGCCTCCCCCGCCCCCTTGCTCGGCCCTACCGAACCCCACTCCCTTGCTGGAGCGGAGGTAGCACCCGGGCACCTGGGGTTCTACCTCCAACCCACCGAGTCCCACTCTACCCCCAGCACTGGGGTGGGACCCAGGCATCTGGGGCTCCCAGCACTCCAAGGCCCTCCCAGAGCTAAGGTAAGACCCAGGTGTCCAACTCACCTGACCCTGCTCCCTTCCCAGAGCTGGGGTGGACCCCAGGTATCCTGCTCTAACCCCCCCTGCAAAAAAAAATAGGCAACTCCCCCACAGCATTCAGCAGACTTTATTGCTCCCCTACATCTGCTCTCTACCTGGGCTTTAGACCACAAGGGGGTCCCATGTGGGGCAGGCCAGCCTGGGGGAGGGAAATGGTGGGGGTGTCTCAGTCTCTGTCCCTCATGGGCATTTTGGCACTCACAAGCCTCCTAGACTGGACCAGCTCCTCATAATGCTGGGGTCGGTACCGCTGGAGGTAGACGCTCATCTTGCCCATGACTGAACCAGTCACCTCCACACCTGAGGGATTGGGGGAAATGGTTAGCAAGGTGGGGGGAGGTCTCTGGTGCACCCTTGATTTCCACCCCCCAAAGCTGCTCACCCAGCTCCCGCCCTACGCGGGTCACCTCCTCCTGGGCAGCTGGCACCTCCGAGGGGTGGGTCACAGCTGTCTCCACCTCACCCACAGCATAGCCGAAGTCGGCCTCATCAAGGTCCACACGGAGCCCCCCCAGGCGGTAGCTCCGGCGCTGTGTTCTGAAGGCAGCAAACTCCTCCAGGCCCAGCCCAGCCACAGCGACAGGGATACAAGCCCAGCCCGGATCAGGGGCCACGGCCAGGATGGTGCAGAGCTGGGCCACCACGGCCACTGGGCTTGTCAGCTCCTGGTAGGCTGTGGTGCTGCCTGGGGGCTGGGCTGGAGCACCAGAGTTCAGACTGGTGGCATCTCTGGTGCTCCCGTCCTGGGAGGTAGCACCAGGGCCGTAGCCAGGGTCCCTGGCACCCCCCACCGGCCACAGGGGGCACTTGAGCTCCCAGCCGGCACCTTCACGGTGCCGCAGCCAGTGGTCAGCCAGCGTGAGCCGCCCATCTGGGGTGTCGTAATACCGGTCCTGGAAGGACACAGCCCCAGCCAGGACAGCCCCCAGCATCACCAGCCGGGCCTCTGTGCCTGGCCCCACCATGAACTTGGCCTCCACCTCGATGGAGCCCGTGGGCTCTGCGACATCTGGGGAGACATTGGGGGGCGTCAGGCAGGCATGGCCAGAGCCCCATGCCAGCATCCATTGCTGGACACCCCACTGCTCCTTGCACCACTGGGACCCTCCTGGGCATAGTACCTGACAACCCCCCCACACAGCACAGCACCCCTTGCTGCCCACCCCCCCGAGCACAGTGCCCCCTGATGCCCTGCCAACCTGCCCCCCACAGCACCCCTACTAGACCCCCCATTCCCCCAGCCAGACCCCACTCCTGCAGCACAGCACCCCCCCTCCAGCCATCCAGCAGTGAGGAGCAGCACCCACCCTCCTGCATATCAGCACCTAATGCAGAATTAAAGTGAAGGCTGGGCTCCCAGCATGCTTTGCAGTGACTGGAAGGAGGAGAGGGATCAGGACGTACTCAGAATTGTGGTTCTAGGGCAGCAGGGCATGTTGGGAGCTGTAGTTCTAGGGAGGAGCGGGGCATGCCGGGTGCTGGTTCTAGGGTGGAACAGGCTGTGCTGGGAGCTATGGTTCTAAGGTGCCACCGGGCATGCTGGGAGCTGTGGTTCTGGGGAGGTGCAGGGCATGCTGGGAACTGTGGTTTCCCGGGTGGCAGCATTGGGAGTCGGGGGAGAAGCTGCTCTCTCTCTCTCTCTCTCTCTCTCCATCACACTGGCCCCGGAGTTGCCATGGCAACCTGCAAGCTGCAATTAAGGGGGGCTCTCATTAGAGAGGAGATGGGCTTAACCCCTTGTGTGCCGGGCAGGAGGGGGGGGTCTTGACAGCCCCGACGCCTGGGTTTCCCTTCCCAGCTCTGTGGAAGGGGGTGGGGAATTGGAGGCCTTGTGGCTCAAGGTGGGGGAGCCAGAGCGCCTGCGTCCCTCCCAGGATTGGGGAGCCCCGTGCGGGGGGTCGGACGCCAGGGTCCTATTCACCTCGGGGGCGGGGTCATGTGGCCTGGAGAAAAGGGGGGAGGGG